CTCCCAGAATTCCTGAGCAAGCATGGCTTGCTCAGGAATTCTGGGAGTTGAAGTCCATAATTCATAAAAGGGCCATAGTTGCCCACCCCTGGTCAATAGGAAATAAAGCTAATAGGCTTCTGGGTGCAATTCAAGGTCCTGGCCTAGCATCTCTCAGTTGTTTCTACCCACCCAGAGTTGATACACTTAAGATCTCTTCCATAAAGAGCTGCCATCTTTTGGGATTGAGGAAGCATGGTCTCTCCATCACACTGCCCTGCCCTCTGGGACTCCATCATCCCTAGATACAAATGATACCTTCTCTCCTGGGATCCCAGAAAGCTTTTAAAACCTGTTGTTTCAGCTCTGACATTAATGATCTTTAGGGGCCCTCTCATATTCATATAGTTTATCATTCTGGTTGTTTTAGTCTTGGCTGTCTGTTTATATGTATTTAATTGTTTTTTATTGTTTTCTTAATGTTTCCAGGGTCTAATGGAATGGATGGTTATATAACCCTCTACATAGGGTTGAACTGTAGAGTTCTTGGTGGTCCAGTGAAGTTGCCTTGATGATGTTACGTAGCTGGGAAATAAAACTTCTGCCAGCAAAAAGCCCAGCTCAGCACCAAGAACTTTGGAATTAAAATTTTACTTTTACTTCCACTGGTTTAGTCACTTGACACTGAACGGAATTAGCGACATTGAAATATTATTTTCATTATTAGTGGCACCATTTTCCAAATATCAATATGAACAGAAGATATTTGTAAATATTACTATCATTTGAAATCACTGAAAAGTTATTTAATGAAAGAACCCATGTATAGAGATATATCTTTGCATTTTTTTTAGAGCTGAAATATTTCATGCAGCAATGAGATCCATAGCCAGACATTGGGGTATAGAGGATGACTTTGAAGAATATGGCACTATCCAACCATGTTCACTCTTCCCTAAAGAAGTTTCAAAAATTGATGTAATAACACACCAGGTAAAATAGATGTGTCAGGACAAAATATATTTCCTCTAACAAATTAGAATAAATCTATCTCTAGCCAGATTTTATTTGAGTTTCCAAATGAAAAGATAACAATTGTTTTACAATTATTAATTTATATTGTTATGTTCCCTTTCCATATTTCCATTTTTAATTTAATTTAAGTCTTGTGAAGCAGGTTAAAACAGAGATAGCATCTATGATCATCCAGTACATTTCATGACTAACTAAAGTATGCATCAGTCCTTTTTTGGGAGGCAAGTCAATTTCATGAGTAGCAGATAAAATAAAATGTCATTAAAGAAAAATTAAATTTCTTTCTTTTAAAACTTTAAATATTTAAATGTAAACATTGTGTTGGAAGAAACAAATTAGAGCTGTTCAAACAGCAAGAAATAAGAAAAATGCAGGAGAAAATATTCCAGACAGCTGCAAGATAACATTGGTTGCTAGAAATGGTATGGTCTCTGCTAGAATCTCAAGTGAGATATTATTATAATATCTCATAATAATATTATGAGTCACAAGATATTGCGAAGGAAATTTCTGTCTTTTGCACATGAGTAAGATATAATTAAAAGGTGACAAAATCCAGTTTCATTTGCTCAGAACAGTAAAGAAAATGGATTTAAGAGAACCTATAAACAGAAATTAAGACTGGAAAAATATGTGGCTAGAACAGTTTTACTGATTTCTACAGAAATAGCACCTGCTTGAAACAAATGTTTCTGTGCTTCATTTTGCTTTTTGGAGGTTCTGATATGTTAATATTGGAGTATATGCTGCAGAGATGGAACAGATCCTATTCTCTCAATGGCTTTTCCCAAGTTTGCATTTGATTTAACAGGATCTATCTCCAGCAGAAATGGCTGGGAGTATCTACCTTTATTTAAATGACAGCCACCTGTTAATTGTGTACATGTGTACTGAACATCTGTCCAGGCAGGTTGCACTCTGATATGCAGTCCAAATGCATTCCCAACAGATATTATTATAATTTCTACATTATTCTTGCTTCATTATTTGGCGTTATTTTCCATAATAAAAATAATTTATTAATATATTCTATTTGGAGATGATTTTTTAAAATAAATATTGCAACTTCATAACAAATGTATTTCTTTGATTCCTATTGTGCCTTCTTACCTTGGGGACTGTATATAAAAAACTAAAACAGACATATGCTGTTGGGCCACTTCACCTGATATTGCCTGGCAGCCCTTTGATAATAATCTGCCCACAAACATATGGGGTTTTGTGCTTTTCCTGTTGCTGGGAAACAGAAAAACACATTTGCCAGAGGCAGCTATGTCAATCAGTTGTAGAATAAACATCCTTATGGATTCTTAAAGATTAGCAAGTCTATTATGAAATAAGATTTGCTTGACTATTTTATTTCATCAGGTATGTAAAATGAGGGAGCAAGTGAAAATTGCCATCTTAATGACTGTGGAAATCTGAGACAAATTTTTTTGCCAGAAAGCTGGTGGGGAGGAATCACAACAGGCTACATCAGGAACTCTCTGTTATTGTTATCAGAACAAAGCACTCAGTTGGGTAACCTTGGGCCAGTCACTCACTTATAGCCCTTATAAGTGAATTTTATTTTATTTTTTTAAAAAGTTACATTTTAAAGTACTCACAGTACTCTCTAAATCAATGTGGCTGCTTTTGATAAAAGAAAAAAAAATCTGCTTTTTCCCCCTAGTTTCAAAAACTTCTGGAAAATGTAGAAATACATATGATCCATGATGTACAAAAGAAAATTAACAAAGAAATAACACTGGTTTTATCTGAAAAAGCAAGAGAAGGGAGACACCTCCCTACAGGTAATAATTAAAAATGTTCCAAATTAGGAGTGGTATTAGCAATGAGGAATAAGCATACGCTGGGAGATTCCTGGGAGCCACCGCACTCAACGGACAATTCATTTTTAGTACAAGGGAGTCCGCGACTTATGACCACAATTGAGTCCAAAATGTATATTGCTAAGCCAGATGGTTAAGAGAATTTTGCCCCATTTTATGAACTTTCTTGCCACCGTTAAGTAAATCACTACAGTTGTTAGTAAGACAATTATTAAGACTATTAGTAAGTTAGTAAGACAATTATTAAGCTAATCTGCTTCCACTGACTTTGCTTGTCAGAAGGTCACAAAAGATGATCATACAATAGTGCAACTGTCATAAATATGAACCAATTGCCAAGCTTCCAAATTTTGATCACGTGAACATAGGGATGTTGCAATGGTCACAAGTGTGAAAATTGTCATGTCACTTTTTTTCAGTGCTGTTGTAACTTCAGTTACTAAATGAATGATTTTAAGTCACAACTACTGTGTACTTTCAGTCAACACATACCGAGCAATTAAACTCTTCTTGTTTCCTAATGAAATTTCCTTTTCCTTGTTGAATTTGGCAGTGGAGGTTTTATGCACATCTACCGCATTTTTCGGAGTATAAGATGCTCCGAAGTATAAGATGTACCTAGTTTTTGGGAGGAAAACAAGAAAAAAAATTTTTTGCCTCTGCCTCCCAGCAATTTGCCTCCTTGCAGCCAACAGCCTGTTTCAGCTTCAGCACAGCCTGATTAGCACAAGCAGCTGATTGTTGGTTGGATCGGCCTCCCAACAATCAACTGTTTTAGGTTGCAGGGATTGCCATCACCTATTGCCACCTCCACGCGCCCCATTTTCGGCCTCTGCATCCCATTTTCGGCCTCCACACGCCTGTTTTCGGCCTCTGCATGCCCCATTTTCTGCCCATTCTGATCCCCACCACCTAGAATGGGCCAAAAATGGGGCGCATAGAGGCCAAAAATGGGGCGCACGGAGGCGGCAATCAGCGATGGCAATCCCTGCAGCCTGAAACAGCTGATTGCTGGGAGGCCAATCCAACCGCCAATCAGTTGCTCATGCTAAATCAGGCTGTGCTGAAGCTGAAACAGGCTGTTTGCTGCAAGGAGGCAAATTGCTGGGAGGCAGAGGCTGAAGGGTGGGGGCTGCGGGTGGGTGGAGCTTCAGCAACATTTGCTGTATAAGACGCACAGATATTTCCACCCACTTTTTAGGAGGGGAGGAAGTGCGTCTTATACACCAAAAAATAGGGTAACTATGCACATAGACCTGGCTGATACATTTTATAAGAAACATCCATTGATTATAAGAACAAGTTTTGCTTTATGAAACAAAGACAATAGGGAAAAAAGAGGAAGGGGAAAAAAACATGGTATGTGTGGAAGTTAACATGAATGGAAACTTTTCCCCCCCTAATAATTGTAGTACTTGGAGTAAGGATACAGTAAAAATTTTCTCTGGGGTTTCAGAAAGGAAGTGTCCTTTCTTTGGATTCCTTATGCAAAATCCTTGTCTTCCTCATGAGTATTCAACTTTTTAAAAAGCAGTCATAGCATTGCATATAGCATATAGCAGTGGTCCATATTTCATGAATCTGAATATTGCTGATGCAGCTCTTTTGTTCACTCTTTCAGAACTCTGGAAACATCACAGCATGCAAGAAATGTTCTCTGTCACAAGGCCCGAAATAGTTGAATCATTTATACAGAGGCTAATGGAAGATCATCAAGAAATTAATGCAGAGGTACATATGTTACACCAGCTTCAACTAGTAGAGGTTATGAAGCATTTTGTTTCAGATTTAGCTTCTCATGTCTCTGACTTAAAATAATCATATTAGATGCATCTTGGTTTTTTATATATGCAGTACATCTTCACTATCAATGAACTGTGGAGAAACCAAATTTACTTATGTATCTGTGGAAACACTGAGAGTCAGTTTGGTCTAGTGGTTAAAGGTACCTGACTAGATAACAAAAGACCGAGTTTTAGCTCCATCTTGAAAGTCAGCTGTGTGATTTTGGACCAGTCATTGTCTTTCAACCCAACTCACCGTACAGAATTGTTATGGTGGGGAAAATAGGAGGAGGAAGGGTTATTATGTCAGATTGTTACATTCAGTTACTTATAAAGTAATAACGGTCAGATAAAACAATCTTAAAAAACAGGTTTATTTTCTGATTGTATTTTATTTCCAGATTATCTTTCAAAAGGACCACTTCAAAAAATGCCTCACCTCTTTAGCTTGTGATGCCATGGCCAGAGAACGTAGCAACTTTGAAACCTACTCCATGTTCTATGAAAATCTGCTCCGTCGGCAACATCAGCTACTATATAAAAAAGAACAGGTATTCTCCTGCTACTGAATCTATAACAGAAAAAGAGGGAAGTGATTCTTCATTACTTTGAAGAAAATAATGTTTGCTAATTACTGTCCTAAGCCTGGAGAAATGGTAGCAATTTCTGAAAGGCAAAATTAATTAAAACTATATTTCCATTCTGTTTCAGGAAGTGCATGTCATAGAAGACAACACAGGAGCTGTTGAAGTGGATCTGAGTCAAGTTAGTGGCTGTGACTTTGGTGCTTTTATTCAGGAAGGTCTATGAACGACTCCTGATGTCCTTATACTCTAAAGACTTATTTTGAAAGATTGTGTTTACAAATAAAATTGTAAATCATTGCTTCTATCTCTTCTGTAGATAGCTAGACTGAGTCACGAGATGATTCTGGAAATAACTGCTCTGAGAGCCAAAGTTACTGATCTACGAAGAGAAGATCACAACATTAAAGAGAAGATAAGAAAAGAAGTCCAAGAGGATTATGAAGCATTGGTACAAAATATATTTTTGGTGTGTCTGCAAATAAAAGTAGGTACAAGATACAAAGGGGTGTAACATCAAGTAGATTATTCCAATGCTTTTTCAGAAAGGTGTTGAAATTTAGACAGTATCTTTTGCTTTCTCAAGAACAAATGCTAAGTTCCAAAGATCAGGTCCTGTGTAAACAAGATAAGACAGCAGAGCAACCTATTAATTCTGCCATGTTAATTCTGTCCATTCTTTCCTTACTTCTCAAATTTCCTAAACTGTAAATGGAATTTCAGTACACACTATGAAGTAAAAACAAACAGCAATGTCAAATTTGGTTTTTATTTAATGGAAAGCTGGTTTCAAGAAGCTTTTTCCAAAAATGGACTGATTTCATTTTCTCATGTTGCCTTTGCTTACTAGGTAGGGATCAGGAGAAATGTCTAGGTTGCTGGTCAGTATTTATTTTACCAATCATGATGTTCAAAATGGGGAGATTTTATTTTTGTGTTTCCAGATTTTAAAATTTTTACAGAATTGTTTTCTTAAAATTCATTTATCTGAAAAAAGACATTCATAGTTCGATTTTGTGTTATGGCTGCAGGGGAAGGTAGATGAATACCGTCTAAGCATGAACAAACAAATGTTAGAGATCATCAGTGAGGTGAGAAAAGAAGGTGTGGAGAAAATTATTAATCTGAAGAAAAAGTTTGGATCTACAAAGGATAACAGTGCGCTTGAAGAACATTTGGCTCAGGTAGCCCTTTAGTTTGCTTAATGCCTAGCAATAAAAGAAACAAACCTAGGGTAAAAAGAAAGAAAACAAGCTGAGAATTCCAATTTGATATGGATGCCTTAGAGAAATCCCTCTGAAAGCTATTAAAGCAAACAAAACAAAGTCTGTAGACATGAATTTTTCTGTATTCTGACATTGAATAAGGGTTATGCAAGTTTCTATGGCTTTTTCTTTAGAGTTGTTACCAGATATTGTCTGACTCTCACATTCATTAAAATAATGTGTTATGAATTAGAATATAACTGGTCTGAATTTCACATCTTTCTGAGGTTGATTTTATTTAGGATTAGAGACCAGAAAAGCTGAGCTAATTTGAATTGCGCCTCTGCCCGAGGTTGCCTTCTTTTTTCTTCGTCTAAGTTCCTTTCACATCAGCCATATTGGGGAGGAGTTCAAGCATCTGATGAACTTGATAAACAAAATTTATTCATTAGCACTTTTTATTAATTTTTATGGACATATGTATACATGAATATTATATGATGAAGACAAAAGTTATTGAAAAAACGCATTATTGGGGATAAAAATATATTTTTTTATAATTGTTTAAATGTAGAAAATCTTCTTGTTTTCCATATAACTATGAATTTAACAGTAAAAAATATGCCTGAGATAAATTGTGTGCTGGGATTTGCTCATTGCATTATTCACAGAGTCACCAGAAGCACAATCCTACTGAGGATAATGAACATTATTCCCAGATTAAATGTCAACGTAGAATTTCAGCCTGAAATGCTTTATAATGCATTATAAAGCAATGGATGAACTTTTTATATTAGTAATTTTATGAGAAAACAAACCTCTGAAAAATATATACATCAGAAATGGAAGAAAGAGATGATATTGCAGATTTTATTCAGAACCAAAAAACTTATGACTGATTCTATACATATGTCATTGCGAGCATAGTTATAATGCAAAAAGAGAATATGCTATCCATTTAATCGTAAACTGAACTACTGCTCTGGGTATTCCTGAATAGCCATGGAATTATTTTGTATTATGGAGAGAGATTATATGATATACAATTTAATATATCTTTGAGTTTCTGTTTTGTATTCATATCTCTTTCCTCACAAGAACAGAGACTGATACTTATTGTTAAAGGGCTGTTGCAAAGATTTTGGGGAGAGAATGCTAATAAAAAGAACCTATGCTCTTTAGCAGGGGAAGTTGCAGGAACTACGGGATGAAAACAGTGAATTGGAGAAGTTGTTATGCAAACTGAAGGTCTTAAAGTTTTGGAAAGAAACAATGCAAAAAGCACAATTTTTGACAACATTGCAAGAAATAGAGAAGGTAAGATTCCCTCCAAAAAGCTACTGGCTTTTTAATAAGAGTATAATAAATAAACATGTAAATCATGACATTTTTTTAAAAAAATAGCATAAATTGAGATTGGACAGGTCTCCAGGGCAGAATATATGTTTTGCTTATATGTATGCTCGCTTCTACACAAATATATTAATCAGCTTCTAAGAATAACACATGCATTAATTAGAGGAGTGCATAACCCTGCAGGCCAAATGTGCACGCCCTGTGTCCCAAAATTGTGTTGCTGAAATTTAATGAATGCTTATTTTAAATTAAAAATAGGATTGAAATTACTTTCTACTCTGAATCACCCTAGTTATACTCGGTTCCAACTTTTTAAAGGATGGGAATAGAAACAGGAAATGTTCCATTATAGAATGACCTCATTACATGACCAAATAAAGTCCTCAATAGGCAGATAGTTGGAATCTGATTTGTGGCCTCCAGCCTCTCAAATATTGCCCATTGCAGGATCACTGAGAAAGGGAGAAGTTTTTGTGTCATTTTATTTCTGTCACACACCTCCAGATTGCTGCTTCCCCCAGTTATTAGCATTTGACTTTAGCAAGAAAGGAAAGGAAATGTTGTCAGTCTGCCTCCTGCCAGTTCTGCAGCAGACAATTTTTAATGTTTACATCAGGGGTGGAAAAGTATCTATTGCCAAGCATCCAGCTGCAGGCAGCTGACAGGTGGGTGATGGGGAAAATGAGAAGAGCTCCTATGGATTGAAACCATCCACCACTATCCCAAAAGGTACTTTAAGGTGCCTCATGGGTTTGTTGTTGTACAGAAAAAATAGGTATGCTGCCTTGAGTTGGCAAATGAGAGCTGCAATATCAATTGATTGGCCATAAGCAACAGCTTATTTCACTGTAGCCTCTAAATCTAAACAGCCTATTTAACTGTAGTTGTAGAAAGAATAACTTCTCTCACATTAGGAGATATTCTGCCAGTTTAAAATGGCCGTGTTCATGATTATTTAAACTAGAGGAAAGCCACATTTAATGGTTGGGGATAGTACTTTTTATTTCAGGAGATAAAATAAAGCAGCAGTGTATGCAGCAATGATGTGAAAATTAAGAGTCAGAAGTGAAGATTTTCTGTTGTTTGTTTGGTGTTAAGCCTTAAAAGATCTACAGTACACCAAAAAAATATGGGGACTTCTTCCCACATTGCAAAGGAGACAAAGTTAAACAAATTGTAAAGGAGAGAAAGTTAACAACCTTATAAATAATTCAGCCTCTGAGAGTTGATTCTCTAGCTTAGATCTTGTTGAATCCTTTGCCTATACAGGAGGCTATTCAGAATAAAAAAGAGTGCTTGCAATCCCAGATGAAGGCGGAAGAAGAGGCCATTTTGTTTAATCATCAGTTGAGAGCTGTAAGGAAAGTCTTGGCAGAATCTCAGAGTGAAAATAAAAAGCTGAAGCAACAACTAGAGAAACAGGTATCTGCCCAAGCTCATCACACACCACGTAGCCAACAATATCCTTTTATTATTTTTACTGAATTCAATAACATCTCCCTCATTTTTAAACTGTATTTTTACGTATTTTATTTTTCTTATATAACTTTAACAAGAACCTGTGTATTCCTCCTATAAAATTTTAACCATTAACTCACTTCAATCTGTTTAAAACATACAAATGGAATCAACATAAGCATTGCTTGCAAAATATCTCCACATTGGCGATAGGAAGGGTACACACTTTGCTAGCTCCATTCAGTTGGCCAGACTCTACCCCGCAAGGATTATGGGGTCATTAAAAGAAGACAATTGCTTGCAAAATATCAATCACTCTTGAATCAAAATACATTTTCACATTAACTCCTATATTAATAAATTTATTTAATTCAGTTTCTTTTCTCCTGAGGTTAAACGCAGTATTCTACAAATCTTGCTAATATTTTCATATAGGAATACTTACTTCAGGAAGCAGAACGTAAGATTAATCGAGAATTTTGTAAAAGACAGCAATTAGATTTGATTAAGACAACAAACTTGGATAAAATGTTAGAAAACCTTGGAGAGAGAGAAGTGAAGTTGTTGAACCTGACAGAAGAATCGGAAAAATCCTCTAGAACAAGAAATCTTCAAGAAGCAAAGATGAAGAAAGAAATTCAACAAGTAAGGTTATAAATATTTTATTTAGCAAAGGATGTATTCTTGTACATGCTTTGAAATCTTCTTGCTAACATGAGTCAAAAAAATGTCATGCACCAGAATGTATATCTGAATTTTAAAATGCAGTAATAGAGATAGACAAAGATGATCCGGATTTTTTCCCCATTTTTTATTGCACCCTTATTTTTATATTTAAAAAAAAATCAAGGCAGCAAACATATTTAATACTTCTCTTTTCTCCTATTTTCCCTGCAACAACCTTATGAGGTGAGTTGGGTAGAGAGAGAGAGAGAGACTGAGCCAGTCATCCAGCTGGTTTTTCATGCCTAAGGCGGGAGAATAACTTGTTTATTGGTTTCTGGCCTGATGCCTTAACCACTAGAGTAGACCCATGCAGAAGAGTTCCACCTTTGGCTTCCATTTACCTTCAGATCTCTTTTGCCTGGCAGAATAAGGGCACCATTATTTTGAGGCTAATATATTTTATTGCTGTCTTTTTCTTTTTCTGATTTTCTGTAGTCATCTGTTCTAAACTGCCAGGCTTGTTCTGATGCTAGTATAATTGATACAGGATATGTATGCCATCCTTGCCATAGGGCAATTAATTTGGCTGTTTGTAGTTGTTGAGCACAGTTGTGATTAATTTTTATTCATTTTCTGAGTCTTTCCAAACTGGCACAGGGAAATCTGGAAGATTGTCAATTCGTATCACTGTTTTCCTGCCAGAAAAAAAATTAAAAAGCAAAATTCCAGGAGGGTGATTAGCATTGGCTCCATCATGGGTGCCTAATTTACTATCAATCCTTTTCTGCCTCTGTTGTTCTTTAGCCACTGGAGAGAGGATGAAAAATAAAAAGGAAACATAGAACCCATAAGTCTTATTTCCACAAGGCGCTCTAGCTTTTAGCTCCCTCTTGGAAGCAGGAAAGTACAATTAATTCCAACATAAGCTTCATTTGATCACACGGAATTGCTTTGTTCTGAAACAGTCCTATGGCTGCTTCAATCTAAATTTAATCCTTTCTCATTTAGCTGTCAATATTAATTGAACTAAAGTTAAAAGCATTTCCTTTCCTTTGTGCACTCAATGTTTTAAGTATGGATCATAATATGAATTTGGGATTATTTATAAACATATACATATACACCTATTTTAGATAAAAAGCCAGCTGATCCAGGAACGCAATTTAAAACTGAATGCTTTCCAAAGGATACATGAGCTACAGTGTCAACGTAATGATTCAGAAGCTGCAATTTCCCAGAACCATTCCCCTGCAGGTATAAATGTTTGAAAGATAATTGGTTGCAATTATATATTAGTTACATTGTACAGATGTTATTCCAAACAAAAACGAAATCAGCAGTAAGAGTCTGCGGCCTTGGAAAGGCAGGGAAGGTGAAAGCAATTAAAGAAATAAAATCAAGCCTTTCGCTAAGAATTATGTCAGTATGTCTCAATTCTCAACATGCTTAGATTTACAGGACTCACCAATTAATTTCAGTGAGCCAAAAGCAATGGAGAAAAAATAGTAACAATGGCATAGGACAGGGGTCTCCAACCTTGGCCACTTT